CTCTGCAAGTTTAAACTTCAAACCTTGGCATCTGTCATCTGCGATCATATATGCATTTTGTAGTCACGAAGTTATCAGAACGCCCTTGTATTTTTATCATATATTTTTTTAACTTGGAAAGTTTTTATTGTGATAACATTTTTCTAGAAGATAGTTAGAGACAACTGGAGTTGTATTAAATGAATACGACTAAATTGTTAATTAGGAAATAGCATGACAATGTAAAGAGTGTTTTTATGTGAAAATGTCAAAATTCAATCAAAATTTAATGGGCATACCTAAGGCAATGCCGGCATTTTTAGAGAGTGTACTATATATGTACTATTACAGTATTACTAATAGAGATATTTACACTAGAAATCAAACTACAGGTCTTTTAACTATAGATATGTGATATTTAATTATGTGCTTTTAACTCTGACCATATGTAGTTGGAGCCGGAGGGGTATAGTTGGCAAGCCAATTATATGAGGGCCAAGGACAATGTACATTGTTGAGTAACTTGAGTGTATGGTTATTATTGTTAATTAGTAATGACTATGACGATTTAATTAATTTTTCTTGATTTGGTTTTGATTTGCAAATTTTTTGAAATGGTTTGGTATAACAAGTTTGGGTAGCAACAGCAGTTTCAGAGGTCAACTTTGAAAGAAGAATGAATGCTTAAGAATTTTTTCTCTTTTTTAATTGGAAAAATTGCTTCAAGGCCCCAAATTTCAAAAGTCAGCGTGCCCCAGCCCCTCATACTTTTTGGTATGTGCTGTAGCCCCCAAAATTTGAAAAAATTGTGCCCCAGCCCCTCCCGCTCATATTTGGCCCAATTTTCTATGTATTTTACCCAAAAACCCAACTATATCCCTCCCCAAAATCATTGTCATTTCTCTCAAGGTCCTCTTCTTCCCCTTCATGGCCCCCGACCACATTCTCCCCATGCTCGACATGGCCGCTATCTTCGCCGCTCGTGGTGTCGACCGCGAGCCCTTCGACCACGTCCTCGCCGACCTCTCCCCCGACTGCGTCGTCACCGACGTGTTCCTCCCGTGGATCGTCGACGTTGTCGCCGAGCGTGGAATTCACAGGCTCTCCTTCCAAGGGACGAGTGCCTTCACCAACTACGCCTTTGACGTTCTTGGAAAGCTCAAGCCCCTCCAAACACTCTCGCCGGAGGCGGAGGACTTCATCCTTACCGGTCTCCCTCACAAAATCAAGATATTCAAGTCCCAAATCGACTCGTCAGCTGACACCGATCCTAAAAAAGGCCAATATGTTTGCCTCGATTAAAGACACTGAGCATAAGAGTTACAGCTTAATGCTCAACAGCTTTTATGAGCTCGAGTCCGAATACATCAACCACTATCAAAATGTCATCGGGCGAAAGGCTTAGCATATCTCGGAGCCTCAGGTTCTTCAGCTGGCATTGGGCCTCGATTTATAAGGGAACGTATGTTGCTAGGATACTGAATGGATGCAATAAAGGTGTTTGATGAAATTCCACACAAGAATGGTGTTGCTTGGAGATATGCTATACTATTAAAGCTTGAATTCATCAAAAGAATCAGCTTAACGTTTACATGTTTTATGTTAAATATAATTGAGAAATTGTTACTTTTAAATTATGAGAACCTAGTGTACCAAAAGATGAGATTAGGATAACATGTTCCTTTTTGCAATTTATTTGTAATCTGTTAACTAACACCATTATCCTGTTAACTATTAATCATTATCTATTAACTGTTATTTATAAACTGTTAACTACAATGAATTATTTGTTAATTATTATTTGTAAACTGTTAACTATAATCCATTATCTATTAACTGTTATTTATAATCAGTTAGTTGTTATTTGTAATCCATTATCCGTTAACTGCCATTTACCGTTAACTATTATTTGTAATCCATTATCTGTTAACTGTTATTTCAGGTCATATACACATTAATATAGTTCTCATTTAATATGTTAACTATAATACGTAGCATGTTAACATAATCCGTTAACACGTTAAGTGAGAACTATAATACATAAATTGATAACTGTAATGCATAAATTAATAACTATAATATGTAGCATATTAAACGAGAAATATATTAACTTATTATAGTTAATATAATCCGTTAACACGTTAATATAGTTATCAATTTAGCAATTAAGGTTAACATAGTTTATTATAGTTAATATAATCCGTTAACACGTTAATATAGTTATCAATTTAGCAATTAAGGTTAACATAGTTCTCATTTAACGTGTAAACGGATTATCACGTTAATATAGTTATCAATTTAGCAATTAAGGTTAACATAGTTCTCATTTAACGTGTAAACGGATTATGTTAACATGTTAATATAGTTCTCATTTAATGTGTTAACTATAAATATGTTAAAATGTTAACTATAACACGTTAATATAGTTCTCATTTAACGTGTTAACATGTTAACATGTTAGCTATAACACGTTAATATAGTTCATTTACGTATTATAGTTATCAATTTATGTATTATAGTTCTCATTTAACGTGTTAACGAATTATGTTAACATATTATGTATTATAGTTAACATGTTAAATAAGAACTATATTAACGTGTATATGACCCGAAATAATAGTTAATGGATAATGGATTACAAATAACAGTTAACGGTAAATGACAGTTAACGGATAATGGATTACAAATAACAGTTAACGGATAATGGATTATAGTTAACAATTTACAAATAACAGTTAACGAATAATTCATTATAGTTAATAGTTTATAAATAATAATTAACGAATAATGATTAATAGTTAACATGATAAGGGTGTTGGTTAATAGATTACAAATAACAGTTAACATATAATGGATTATAGTTAACAGTTTACTAAATATAGTTATCAATTTACCAATTAAGGTTAACATGTATTATAGTTAACATGTTAAATGAGAACGTTCACACATGAGCGTCATATAGAACCGATGCATTTTGTTCAACATGAATATAGCTGCCTGGATTTTTCTCTTTTACCATGCCCTCATACCTAGAAAAGTAACAAGCAACCATCCAAAGTTAACATGTTATCATTATAACTTAACAAGCAAACTTCGAAAGTTAACATGTTATTAGTGTAACTTAACAAGTGAACAAAGAAAGTTAACATGTTTCCGATGACATAACAAATAATGATTAATAGTTAACAATTTTACTCAACCAACAAAGAAAGTTAACATGTTTCCGATGACATAACAAATAATGATTAATAGTTAACAATTTTACTCAACCAAACACTTGATGATAACAAAAGTCGATGACATAACAAATAATGATTAATAGTTAACAATTTTACTCAACCAAACACTTGATGATAACAAAAGTCGATTTCAAGTAACTGAATTGCTACATCCTCAAACACTTGGCACAAAAACGTATGACGAACAACGAAACGCATCATTAATTTGATAATTACATATTTTACTCAACCAAAAACCTCCCCTAAATCCAATAAACAACAGGAGTTCACCAAATTAGCGCAAATGATAAAAGAGTCTCATCCATTCATCCAAACCTCTTGAAATTCGAAAAAAATAATCTAATTAACCGTAACTTTTCCCACCATTCCAGCTCCCTGTTGAGGGGAGCAGTAGAAGCTAGCTGTAGGACCCTTTCTCCTTCAGCGTCACATTGTAGGTCTCGCTGGGGACATTCAGCAGGTCCTCCTCGCTCATCGAGATCGCCCCCGCGTCGACCCCCAACGGGATCTCGTTCTCGTCGAACACCACGTTGTGGGGGAACCCAGTGTTGTTCTTGAACACGATCTCCTAGCCCGGGGCGACGCTCAGCTGGCTCAGCACGAACGCTCGCGACCCATCGCCGCCGCCGAGGAGGACCTCGACGACGAGCGCGCTGCTGGAGAGCACCATAATTTTTTCTGGCGTTTGGGGGCTTGAGGGGATTAGGGTTGGAGGGAAGAGGTTTGAAGAAGAAGTGGGGAGGGCTAAAGTTGGGTTTTTGGGTAAAAAACATACAAAAGTGGGCTAATTATGAGCTGGAGGGGCTGGGGCATAATTTTTTTGAAATTTGGGGGCTGCAGCACATTACAAATATTATGAGGGGCTGGGGCACATTGTTTTTTGGGTTTTGGGGCCTTGAAGCAATTTTTCCTTTTTTATTTTTTTATCATCTATTCATTTATTTACTTTGGTTATGTACGTTTAATTCATAATTTGTTTTCTAAAGATGTTATGTTGTGCTTACTAAATGCCAACTCGTTGAAGAGGGTAAGACTAAGAAGAACAATAAACAAGGAGATATTTGGTGAAACTTCATAATCAAGTATTGAATAAATTAGACATGAATACTTCTCTTGTTCATTTGCTTTTTTCTGCACATCTCTTTATGCTTCAAAAGGAAACCATAATAATGAACAATGTAACAGCTCATTAATTCTTTTCCCACCCTTCCATTTTTCTCAATGTATAACATTAATTTCTTCATCTATTCGTAGTCAAAAAGATTTTAAGAAAATGACATTTCTAGGCTAACATTATTACACACCCAAATCTATGTTTTTGAGCAATGGAAGAGAAAGTAAAAGGAATAAAAGTTCATGCCCAAATGGGACATATTCTCTACTTAGTTATGTTAAGCAATTATAAACGCTACTCTTACTACAAATAGAGTAGTTACCATAATGTAATTTATCAAAAAAATTTCAATCTACAAAAATTCCATACGTAGACACAATAATGATCCCTTTAGATCTAGAAACCAAGAAAAAGTTTGCAATCATAGGTTTAATGATTGAACCCTAAGATCCACACACAAAATTTAGCATGTGCAATTTTTTTGTAAGAACCACCAAATTGCATCAAAAGTTTGCAAAATTTCCCCAAACTTCAACACGGGCACCACACGCAGCCAGAGCGTATCAAATTACGGACCCAAATCGAGGGGCATTTGTGTCATTTTCCCCGACCGCTCTGATGGATTTGGTTCGTTTAAATCCAGAGAGCATTTGGTGCTCAAACTAAACCTTTCTTTTTCTTCCTCTTTTGTTCTTTTCCTTCCTACAACTCCACAGTTGGTGGCTCTTTTTCATTCTTCAACGCCAAGGGAGGAAATTTCCGCAGCAGCTGTCGTCAAAATCGCAGCTTTAGAAGTCCTGTGTGCTTCACATTGGATTTCACTGTAGAATTTGAGATGGGTAGTAGAAATTGGAGGTGTTTGCTGCTTTCTTTATAGCGGAGAATAAAGGGGAGGAAGTTAAGATCACGGTGATGAGTTCTAATAGGAGTAGAAGTGGAGGATTTGGAGGAGAGATTTCTTCGAAGAGCATGGTTTCGAAGAAATGGACCTTCTTGTTTTGTCTTGGGAGTTTTTGCGCTGGCCTGTTGTTCACAAATAGGTAAAAATTGGCTGCGTTTTTGGTGTTTTAAGCTACTTTTGTTGTTTATAGTTAGTTTCTGAACCTGGGATTTGCTTAATTTGATGGTTTGTGTCATCTTTTGAGATGGGTATTGCGTTTAATTTGAGAATTTAGTGGCTTCGTTCACTCTTTTGCTCTTTTGAATTAGTTTTTTCAACTGGGTTTGTTTATTTTTTTTGCTATATGTAGTGCTTTAATTAATTTTGAACTTTAGTAAGCTTCTTTGTTGGCTTCAAATTTTTTTTTTTTGCACTTTTAAGGTAAGCTAGGATCTAAGTTAATAATGGATCTGGAATGTGATCTATGTCTTTGTCCAATTTAAAGAATATAGATTCAAGATTATTGATTCATGGTGTTCGCAATGGCAATAACGGCGAGCATGGGAGAGTGAAATTTTCGAGTAACTAGTTAATGAGTTCTTTGCCATGGAAATGATTGCTAAACAGAAACCCAAAATTATCTGGGTATGTTTTGATGGTGGTGATTGTTAGTAAAACCTAAGTTTTAAAGAACCTTAAGATTCATAAATATCAAAGAGGGGGCAAGTGCAATGGTTATATCTAGTTTTGCTTTGTTTCTACTATGATCATTGTATTGGCATGGAATACGCTTGGGATCAATAGTATTAGTATATCTTCGAATGTATATGCTTGTTGTTGAGCAAACACAGTGAACGTCTCAAACATGCTAAAATAAGTCGTTTCATTTCAGAAGAACTTCATTGATGAAAGTTCTATTTTCTCTCCCATTCATTAGTTAAAAACATTAAAGATGCATGCAGTTTTTTTTTTTGCTTTTAGCATGTAATGTAGATTTATTTGCTTTAATTTAGCACCAATAACTGTTGGTAGCTTGTAAAGCATGCATTGCTTATGTAAATTCTGAAATTGGTACCAGAATGTGGACGTTACCTGAAGCAAAAGACATCATCAGGACAACTGGAACTGAAGATAATAAGATGAAGCTTGTTGCCAGTGATTGTAATTTACAACCTGTGAGCATCTTTGCCTCCTTACAAATTTTATCAGTTCAAACTTTATTACTTGCTATCCTCGAAAAGACCTCAAAGATTCCATCAATATCATTAATATTCAATTTTTGGCCTGCAGATGACTCAAATGCAAGAGCCTAAGAAAATCATAGGAGAAGATTCTAAGACACAAAATGCTATACAGTAAGCTTGATTTTTAGTGTGCTTTAACCCGTTGCATTTTTACTCAAAATGAATCCTTTCTTATTTGATATATATTTAATAAATATTCTCAACTATCGAACTTCTGATTGGCAGGGCTTTAGATAAAGCTATATTAAATTTAGAAATGGAATTAGCGGCAGCGAGGGCTGCTCAAGATTCTATACTTAACGGGTCACCATTGTCAGATGACTCAAAGACTATTGAATCTGGTAGAAGACGTAAATATTTAATGGTTGTGGGAATTAATACTGCTTTTAGCAGTCGTAAGCGAAGAGACTCAGTTCGTGCTACTTGGATGCCATATGGTTTGTGCTTCATACTTGTACTTGCAATCTTATTAAAATTTAGAGTTAATGGTTTACTAATTAATCCATATTGGAACAAAAAGGTGAAAAAAGAAAGAAGCTGGAGGAAGAGAAGGGCATCATCATTCGTTTTGTTATTGGCCATAGGTGGGTTTTCAACTTATTTTACTTTACAATAAATCACAATATGTTCTCAGAGTGAACTTTTGATGTGGAGTTGTTTTTGCTAAGTTGCAAAAATTGACCCTTAATATATGAGGATTTGTTTTTGCTAAGTTGCAAAAGTCGATAAATTGGAAACTAATTACTTGAGATTTTTAAATAGTTCTACATCAGGTGGTATCCTCGATAGAGCAATTGAAGCTGAGGATAGAAAGCATGGGGACTTCATGAGGCTGGTAAGTTGATTTTTTTCCCTCTAAATATTATTCATGGACCATTTTTTTCCCCTTGAAATAACTATAGACTCAAAAACTTTATTTGCTCTTTACAGGATCATGTTGAAGGATATCTTGAATTGTCAGCCAAGACCAAAATATATTTTGCTACTGCTGTCTCTATGTGGGATGCTGAGTTCTACATCAAAGTTGACGATGATGTACATGTAAATATAGGTGAATATCTGTATTCCAGACCTTGGTAATTCCGTTCTTGTACTAGTTTCATATCATCATATTTGTTTTTTTCTATCCCTTTTTTCGTTTGTTTGATATGCTAAATAATCAGTTTGTTCATGCTTCAGCTTTTCAATACCGATGGTTCTCAATCTTAATAATTCAATTATCACTTAAGAGACTTATTTTAAGTACATCATTTCAACCCTATGGGTTAATACATATTTAATTGCTTCTTTATAAAATAGTACTAGACAATTTTTTTTTACAAATGCCATGTCCATATATATGCACAAGTAAATGGCTATTTATTTTCTTGATTTCTGATTTATAAATGAAAATATTTTTTTGATGAAATTTGTTTACGAACATATTGTTATCTGAATCTTCTCCTTTTCATTCTATTTCAGCAACCCTTGGAACTACTTTAGCTAGGCATCGTTGGATGCATGAAGTCTGGTCCTGTTCTTGCTCAAAAGTAAGAAATCCTATATGAATCCATATAAGAAAAACAAGCAGTAATTGAATAGTGTTTGTACTAAAAGTTCCCAAAAAAAATTCACATTTTCCATAGGGGGGTAAGATATCACGAACCTGAGTATTGGAAATTTGGGGAGGCTGGAAACAGATACTTCCGTCATGCCACTGGCCAGTTATATGCAATTTCCAAAGATCTTGCCACTTACATATCCATGAACCAGTAAGCGCACTTTCGCATGCACTTTGGAAAGATCTTCATTGATTTTTCTGTGATATTAGGATCAGTTTTTTAATGGAATTTCTTTTATTTTAGGCACGTGCTACATAAGTATGCAAATGAGGATGTTTCATTGGGAGCTTGGTTCATAGGATTAGATGTGGAGCATATTGATGACCGCAGATTATGCTGTGGTACTCCTCCTGGTAAGTTCTTAAACCACATTAGGTTAAAAAATGTATTTCATTTATATAAGTAGAATTCATAGTTAGTAAGAAACGTAATGTCTTACCAAAAAAGGCATTCTGTTTAACTTTTCACCATCGGGCTCTTTGCAATGAATAGTATATAAATAAGTAATAAATATACAGGGATGAAATATTAGATCGCTTAATTTTTGTTTAATTTTAGTTCAATTTTGTAGTCACTTACTTAGTCTTGGTACAAATTGTATTTCTCGTGAAATGATTAACTGCAGATAAACTCCCTATACTATTGCGAGATTGAACTTACTATCCCTGAAGCTCTATTGTTGTAGAAAGGCCCTATGTTCTATTGCGAAAATGAACTTACTGCCCATATAGTTCTATTGTTGGATGTAGACCCTATGAAAGAGTTCTACTTTTTTCAGATAGACCCCCTAAGTGAAGATTTATTGTTGTAGATAGACCTCCCGGAAAGGTCAACAAAATTTCACGCAGGTGCTCTATCTGCTGCGGCTAGTCAGTTCAATTTGGTGATAGTAAAGGGGGTCTATCTGTAACAATAGAGCTACAAGGGTAGTGAGTTCAATTTGGCGATAATACTGGGGTCTAGCCGCAATTAACATGAAACGGTCAAGAGCTTTAAATACTCTCGAAACCTCTGTTTAACTCATGATATCTCTATAGGAAGTTTCTCCACTAACCACAACATCATCTAGAACTATATACTTACCATTTTCCGATATAGCTTGCCCATTTACGTCCCAATGACATTTTTGTAACAGACAACTTGAATACTATCTGCAGATTGCGAATGGAAAGCTCAAGCGGGCAATCTCTGTGTTGCCTCATTCGATTGGAGTTGCAGTGGCATTTGCAAGTCAGCGGAGAGGATCTCTGAGGTTCATCGCCGCTGTGGTGAAGGGGAGAATGCTCTCTGGAGTGCATCCTTTTGATGATTACAGTCAATCAGTTACCTTCAAGGTAAATTCAATTGTGTATGTAGAGCTTGACGAAATTGTACGTAATTGAGGGAATTTTCATGTTTTAATGGAGAAAGATCCTTCAATTTTGTATCTTAGCAATTGTTTATGGCTGCCAATAATAATTAATAAGTTGCTAATTTTGGTCATAAGTTTTTGCTTTAGTACCACATCGGAGACTTTAAAAAATTACCAAATTATTTGGTAAAAGCTGTTATTTGGTACTCCTATAGTGGAGGGTTGTTACCTTGAGTTCATCCTAAAATAAAGGAGGTAGTTATTGAATATTTCAGGAAATCTCTTGTGATTACCAAATTAGCTAAATATATGATTTCTATATTCTTATGTATATATATTTTCTCTCAGTTTGACTGAGGCAGCTGTGAATTTCCTCTCATTATATCAGGAAATAATTATAACCAAAGCCAAGCAAGTTTCCCCAAGCCTGGCCTCCTCTTAAAAGATACGAAGATACTTATTTTTCAAGAATTAAAAAGGAAAAAAAAAGCAATTAGTCCCATAGATCAAATTCCCTCTCCAGGTGACAAAGTTTCTATTTTACCTCTATTTGATTTGTTCATTGCGGTTTTTTTTCCTGGGTAATGAAGAGATTGTCATATTATTTACATCTGATGCTATGTTGAGGCTAATGTTTTGGACTGGAGTAGCTTATGATTCTATGCGCTAAAATATTGTTTTCCTTATGGTTTATCATTTCGAGCTTCACGCTTGGTGCTTTTAATGATGTCAAAGAGTTCGTGGAGATTATCGTATATTGTGGATCTATATTTATAACAAAGCAATGCATCTGAATATAGACATTCAGCAATTTTCAAAAAGAATTTTTCTGCTTAAGAAAATGCACATATCATCCTACGTTGGAGGCAGCGATGTCATTTTCACCTCCTTTGAGTTCTTTTTGAGTTGATTACTGATAGAACCCCTACAACATCACCTGATCTGAACTTACTACCTGTCTAGTTTTATTTTCGTGGATAAACCCCCTGAGTGATTTTTTTTTCTCTCCCTTTTGCCTCAGAGAGAAAATTGTCTTTTGACAAATAGAGCCCCTTAGAGTGTCTACAAAAGTAAAACTAGAGGGATAGTAAGTTTGATACAGCAATTTACCGACTCTTTTGTCAGTAGAGAATGAGTCAAGAGGCACCAAGCTGGGCTGATCAATGGAGCACGAACGGAGGATTCGAGCACTGTGACAACGAATACGGGCCTGAGAGGAGCGACAGCAAGGGGAAGAAGATGGCGAGCGTGAAGTCTGCTGCGTCCGCTGGGCTTGGCAAGGCGAAGGTGGCAGCCACGGCGGGAGCCAACAAGATGAAGAGTGGCACCAGCGTTGGACTCAGCTGGGTCAAGAGCCAGTACCAGAAGAGGACCTCCAAATAGATGAGAATCTTCGTTTGGGTTGTTGCCTTACCAGTCGCAACTTTATTCCTTGTTTCTTTTCTCTGTTTGGATTGAATTATTCTTGGTGAACAAATTGATCATATAACGCATCAGATTCTGGGAAATAAATTATGTTAGTAGTCCATAGCACAATTCAATCCAGCTGAAGATAAACAAGTAGGTTTCGCATTTTCAAATGCTCCGTTTTGCTCAGTATCCTGAAGGCAATGCAACAGCAAGTAGCTTGATGATGCTCACAACAGCAGGATGATGCATAATGCAGCACATCAAAATGTTGTTTAAGCGGAACAAACAATAACTTAAATCAATCAACAGCAAGACTGCACCACTAAAATAACTGAAATCACCACCAATATAGAAATAAGTATTTAAATTCCAAATAAATCCAGAAACCTACAGATTTCATATCTACATCTCATTAAGATTGTGATCTCCAAAAGTCAGAAGCTGGAAATGAGAGTACATACACCCCTCCACCCAAGTTTCTATTCAGAGAGGGAAAAGTAAAAGACTAATCCCTTAGAATAACATCCCAAATGTGTTCTCCCCGCTGTAAGTCATGTAAAGAAATCCATCTTCATCCTTGTTCTCCTCATAGATTGCAGACATCATTGCAGCTGCCAAAACAATTTAATCAGGATATATAAAAGTACAGATGAAAGCAACTTAAACGGAGTAAAAGATTTATTCTCTCTCACCAGTTGGTGGCAAAGTGTTCTTGACAAAAATGAAAACAGCCCTCTCAGCACCCAGCCCGATCCTCTTTCGAACAACATACACAAACTGACCAACAGTCAAATCAGCTGGAACTAGGTACCTGAATCATCAAACAACCACTTTTAGTTAAGAGCTGATATAAGTGAGCATAATATCGGTCTAAGGTTCAATAGCGGCATTGACACAAGAGTAGATGAAAAGCTTTAGCAAAGATTTTTCAGAGAATAAACTTAATTAATAACCTTATAATATCACTCGCCTTCTGTGCAACTTCAGTATCAATAAATTGGACGGCTAAGCAAATAACTATAAAATATCTGATATTTCAAGTGACAACACTATGTTATTTTTGTATCATTTTGCAGTTACGAGTTGGATACATGAAGAGTTCTTTATCTTATTCATCAGAAGGGTGTGAGGTGGTTTGGAGATGAAGTAAAATCAAAATTAATTGCCCCAGCATCAAAGGGGAAAATAATTCCATGATTAAATAGTGTTCTAAAAGAATACCATATGGCTGGACTTCAGGGGAGGCAATATGCACTTGGGATAACAGTAATGAGAACTTCAGTGTAAAAAGGTAAATTTCAAGCGCCTATTATTTGACTCAATATTTAAACAAAAGGGGTTTCAGAACAAGTGCAGCTAAAGAACTTACTTCTTCTTATCAATGTCCGGAACATCACTCCTTTCTGCTTTCTCAACAATCACCTAGTACATGGTCATTTAAGATTAAAAACTCATTATTATACAATATCAAAGACCAAAATACAATAATACTTGCTGGAATTCTGTCCGGATACTTGTCTCTAATACGAGCAGCTTCTGCCTGCCTCCTTTCTGCATTGCAGAATGACAATTTCTGGTTAGCTAAAAGATGATAGGTGTTTGACAACAATATTAAATAGAAAGTGCAGAAGGCCGCCAATTTTCACAGTAACAGCTTTCATAAGTATAGCATGGTGAATGACGATCAAAACCACTGACATTTGACAAAAGAAATTGTCTTGTGTATAACACAAACTGAGTCTGAAGATACTCATAAGTCCACAGCTCAAAAGGTGAAGCATTTATTGCTCACGAACCATCAAAGCTCACCCAATGCACAGCAACTCAGGAATCCTGAGAACTTAAAATATGCTCAAAGCATCTTTCTACTAGACAAAAATGAGGAGAGAGATGCTAAAAGCCAATAATTCATTGAATCTTTGGGACACTTGCTAGAGGACCAAAGCATCGGGACTGGCAGTACCTCTTCCAATACCAGCAAAAATTTGAGAGTATATAGCCATGGATTTTATCACAAGCCTGCCTAGTGAGAACATTAAAAGTGTGACATTTGCGGATTGTAGACCAACACACACATTTCTTCTCTTTGGCCCACTAGCCTGATACTTACTCGGTACTAATGCCAGCTCAGGTATTCTTTACCAAAGTGTATAGTTGGCAATAGACATCTAGTGTCTACCATTTGTTGCGGCAAGAGGTTTAAATTTCAGCACTGTGAATTAAAACATAGCACTGCACGTTATTCTCAAATTGATGGCCAATTTGAGACCTAACAAGAGTTGGGGTTGTTATTTGAGATGGTTTTGTTTTCACAATCCTAAACAATAAGTTAATGAAGAGCTTAGCTAAACTTTGGTATAACCCTGATTGGAAGATGTCTACCCGCTGACTCCTTCAAGGTTGTGTGTGTAAGATAACCTCCGACCTTGTTGAGCTGTCTCCAAAGCTATCAAAGTCTGTACAAGTTGTGATGGAGCATTTTTCACAAGGGAGGTAGCTTTGCAATTCCTATATGATGGCCTCGGCAAGGCTAGAGAGAAGGCGAAGAGCTTGCAGATCAATACAAAATTGACAGGACTTCCAAGCTAGGTAGTCAGTCTATCTTGAATTTTACTCCGATCAGTCAGTCA